TCAGGATGGGAAAGGCCATCCAAGGATCTTCAATACCTTTCATTCCTTAACTAGCAAATGTCCAGCACTCTGACCTTGGGGCAAGATTGAATCTATCCGCCTTATATTGAGCAGGGTATTCCCATAGACTGTGAAGACAGACATGAGATTTTAAAAAGTGTGTTTAAGTGGAATCATTGTGTTGATGTCTAATCAGTGTGTTGAGCCCTGTAATTCTGTATGCCAACCCTGACTACCCTCACTCCCTGATTTCAGTTCAGTTAATTAGCTAATCACACTCTTCCCTCCCCCCCATTATTTTGCATACCAGTTGAACTTTTATCTGACAACATCAACAGAGTTTTCACCTTTCTCTCACATATGGTAATTCGTTAACTAATTAGACAGGCGGGTACGCCTTTCGAGAACCATCCAAGGTCCAGCTTGTTCACTCAGTGGCTGCTGATCAGCTCTGTTGTGAATGCTGAATGTTGTACCACGTGGCCTGGAAGCCACGTCCCTCCAGAAGCAGCTGCCAGCTGCATTCAGCCTCATGTGATCACATCATCAGATCTGATGGAGTCCTTAGGAGTCCTAAGTTAGCAGGTTATGGACGAAACACATTTTTTGGTTTTACTTTTCAGGAAGGAACGAATAGGCCTGTTGACTTTATGCTTTCTTGAACATCTACTTATAAATGTTAAAGTCAATCCAGTGTTGTTGTAGTCATCGTCATCATCATCGATGTCACATCCCACTTGTCCCCTGGGACCTCAAGCGATCCTAACTTGTATTACCTCCTCCAGTTAGTATTTCTGCAGCAACAACCTCATGATCTAGCTTGGGCTGAGAAAGTGTGATTGGCCAAAAATCAACCAGGGAGCTTTCATGATCAAAAGTGGACAAATCTGAGTCCCCAAGTCATAGCCCAACATCTTAAAACCTGATACCATAATGGCTGTCAATTACAATTTACACATAAAATACCATGCTGTGTTTCTTGCAAATTCAATTTTCCTTTGTTAGTGGGGATAAGGCACTGGGTCAGGTAAGCAATATTTGTGGATTAATACCTCTGGAAATCAAAGAATCCCCCTGATCAATTTGGAGATATGCTGCCTACAACTGGCCAGCTTCACCCAGCATGCTAAGCTGAAATCAAGCAGACATTGTTAAGGCCTAGTAGGTTGTATGACCCAATCCAAGTAAGCTACGTTGACCCATCCAAGGATCTCAATACACAATGCATCACAAAGCCCAACCTGCCCTCAGTTCTTATTATGGAATGAACTGATCTTTGTTTTTCCAGGCTATCATATATCCAAGAGAGGGAAAAGCTGTGCCTCTTTACCTCCAAAGTAGGAGCCATCTGCCAGCTTGGTCTCCTTGTTCCCTTTGGTGAGCACACTAACAACCCCATGTTGAATGAAGTACATCTTCTTCCCGATGGTGCCCTCTCGGATGATGTAGTCCCCTGGCTGGAAGACCTCAAAACGCAGCTTGGTCAGCATGGATGTTACGAAATTGGGGTCGGCATTGGCGAACAGAGGCATGGAAGCCACAAGTTTCCTGCAGTTGAAATTGATGATCTCCTAGTCCCAACAAAGGCAGAAAAATCCTGTGAGATACATGGGATTTTAGCTGAATACTTAAGTAACGCTGCTTCAGCCACCCAAAATCAGCAATGTAATAAAAGGCATGAAAAACAATTGGATGCTCATCTATGCTTTTCAATTTCTGAAGTTTTTCTCATATAGATGCATATTTCATTATTCAGTAGATTAATCAACATATACGTTATGTATAAGTTGATTAATCTAACATGTGAAGCAGCCCTATTTTTTAATGTCCCAGACAGTCTCAGTCTCTTTCAGCGCCTTTGCCCTTGCTAGACTTGTGCTTGCTTCATCTGTATGCTACTCACCTCTTTTAGGGGCTCACTCAGTTCTCCCAGAATGCTCTCCTCATCAAACATTTTGCCCTGATACCGGTGTTCATAGTAGTCATGGATTCTCTGGCGCATCTCAGCTGGAAGTTTGTGGAAAGACATGTATTGTTCAACTTGCTTGTACTGTGTGGGGAGAAAATGGGATCTGTCAAGATGGGTTCCTGACATAACTTTGGCATGTATTATTTATATCTGCCCTCCAGGAACAAGAATTGGCATTCCTAGATCATCTCCTCCCCCTTTTGTTCTCATAATCCTGTGATTGTAAGGAGGGCCCTTAGAAGAAAGTTCCCCCCACCCCAAAGACTCTTTAGGATGTAACTTGTTAAGTTCTCACAACCATGGTTGAATCCTGGCTTAGAAAAGAAGTTCTGAGTGTGATAAATCCAGGTGTAAATTGTTTCACTTTTTCAGTGTTACCCATTCCAAGCATTTTAAAGACCAGCTTGTCTTCTAAAGAGGACCTTCTCATGGTAGCAATGAAGGACCTATCCGGATCTAAAAGCAGATACTGCATCATGTCCCTACTTTAAGTGGATCCTGCCCATCCACAGTGGGTATATTGAGGTTCTTCCCTAAGGGGAAATTAGGGACAGAATGAGAAATCTGTGCTTTCAGTAATGACACCAACCTTTTGGAAGAGCCTAAGAGGAATAGAGATGGTGACAGGAGTTTTAGAAAAGATGGTTAAAACAAAGCTGCCCAAAAGGCCATTATGGCAGGGTTCCTCAACCTTGGCAACTTTAAGACAGGTGGACAGCTGGGGAATTATGGGGGTTGAAGTCCACCTGTCTTAAAGTTGCCAAGGCTGAGGAACCCTGCATTATGGGGTTAAGATCTGGTCATCAGATATAACCATAACAGTGGCATTAATCTGAATGGCCGCTTTTAAGGAATATATTATGTTTAGCATCCTACTGATGATGTATTGTCTTGCTGACTCGTTGGTTTCAACTGTACACTGCCAGGAATCCTTGCAGAGCAGGGCAGTATAAAAATATCGTAAATAGATAAATGAACTCTGATTTTACACACATACAACATCCTTCTTCTGCTTTAGGTCAACCCTCCATAACGTAAGGACTTCCAAATTAAGCTCTCATAATCCCCAGCCAGTATGGTCATGTCCAGCAAAAGATCACTCTGTTTTCTGGTTGGCCCACTGTGCAGTAAATGGAAGTCATGTGGCTCTGCTTAAAATGTCCATGGACAGATAACGACTGTACAGTGTACTATAGTTCTCCTGGTATCGTTGTTTTCCAAAGAACTATTGCTCCAACCCAGGGTAGGTTGGAAATCTATCTATCTATCTATCTATCTATCTATCTATCTATCTATCTATCTATCTATCTATCTATC